AAATCCAGTTCTAATTGATACCTCTATAGGTTCCTGTATGGATGAACATCACTACTGCTCGGTATGGAAGGCTGAGGGGAAGTGTCATCATCCCTACTTTGAAGAGCGCTTAAAGCTTAACTGTGCCTTTTCATGTGGACACTGTACTCTGGCCAATATACATGCGAGGTCTTTGAACTTCATCATTCCTGTACAGTAATGCAGTGAATCATTGAGTGCTTTACATATAGACGGCAAATCAAGGACCAGGGAGACAATACAGTCATCACAATTTTCCTATACTTTTCCCCTAGTTAACCAAGATTACCTAGTTTATCTCTTTTCGGAAGAATTCTCTAATTTCGAATTCTCTTTTGTGTACAACCTTAGCTTCAACCAAGCCTAAATTTTTATTGTCTTCTTTGTACACAGAGTGTGTGCAATTACAATAGATTCTCTGCTGAATAAAAGAGTATGTTACATGCTTTCGAGGTTAAGATAGCGCAAATAAGATCTCGAAACTGGAGTCAGTATTAGTTTACTCTTTAAAATCACATCACCCTTCAACCCAACTCCCAGGTCCTTGATTATTTATCGTTGTATCGTAATTATGGTGTTTGTTTTTATTAGGTGTCCGAGAGGGTCTGGGGAGGTATTTTGCTTTATTACCAAAGTTGCGACACTCGAACTGTCATAGTAACAACAAGCACGACTAAAATAACCGTGAAATACTTATCACTAAATTGTCTTAAACYATAAGGCCGATTTAGACGGTACAACTTTTGCCTACARCCATCGCATGCAGCACGCGTAAGTCGTCCTTACAACTTGGCTACAACTGTCATAGGGCTATTAAGCAATTGTTTTTAAATCCCTACGACAGTTGTGGCCAAGTTCAAGGACGAATTACGCGGGTTGCATGCGATGATGGTTGTAGGCAAAAGTTGTGCCGTCTAAAGCGGCCTATAGAGATAGTCCGCAAACACTGGAGTATGAAATAGTGCTAAATTAACATGAATTATTAAAAAAATGCTTTGTTTTCTATTGTCTAATTTTAACAATATTCCCTTATTATGCATTATTTGGTTCGAACTATTTCACGCCTTAGGTGTTTGCACTCTAAAATAGTGAAACGGTACCAGAAAGTGCTCAATCAGTTCTTAAWTAAGGTCGAGTGAACTATCTCTTTGTCCTGAAGCCGTACTCGACCAATCAGAATTCAGGATTTGTAGGATTTGCACATAATAGTTYGATTGATACAAGGAAATTGTGATAAATCAGTAGCATTTAGCTATTTATAGTGTCTGCACTCCAGTTAAAAAAAAAGAATTAGCCTAAAATAGCGCTAAACGGACATTTTTACGGATATAATATTGTTTGCGCTGTAAACGATGATAATATATTATCAGATTACAAGATATATGATGGTTCGAGCGTCGTAGCCAAGTAAATCTTTATATATATTACTTACAAAATAAGGGTCGTACGTCAAGCTGATTAGCTGCTTATTATTGTGTGCAAATACAAATTTTTATATGAGGAATTTGAATGGAATAAACTTAAATCAAATCCATGACAGTGGTTTGTGTTTTTATGAAGGACCATAGTCAACCATCATGCTTCGCGGTCGTCACTTGACTTATCCCCATTCAGAAAATCAATCATGAGTTTTCGGCGATTTCAAACATGTGGTTTTCATATCTTACGATATTTTGATTCACTGAGTCAAAAAAAAAAAAAAAACACAAAAAAACATCCACTGCAGAGCCTGGGGCATGAATGAACGTACCTTACTACTCGGCCAACGTGTCAAGCGATTGAATTGAGGTGATCTTTAAAACAGTCTTTCCTTTGTGTTGGTAATCCTTGCCAACCATGCAGACGACGGGCAATGCGCTGGTGGTTACTGACCCGAGTTCAACGCTCTGCAGGGGACGTTTCTTTCATCCGTTGGCTCAATCATAATTTTCCAATTTTTTTATCTCCTTTTTATTCTATTTTATTTCTATTTATTCCTTTATTTCTTTATCTATTGGTTTGTTTTGTTTTTTGCTTATTTTTACCATTCATTTAATTTTTTTTATTGCTTTCTTTTTTATCGTCTATTTTTTCATCTATCTATCTATTTGTTTATGTATTCATTTTTTCATGTACTTCTTTCTTTATTTATTATCCCATTCTCTCCTTAGGATAGTATTTTCTGATGACATGTAGTGTACATCAATGCTGACTTCGTTACAAAAACGACTTTAATAAGCGAATCCATGAATAAAGTACTTAGGTAGTTCTGCAAACCACCAAATGTATTTCCATGACAGCAACTACTAGTGCCAGTAGCTATATCTTAAACATATCGCCGTCAAATTTATCACCAGGGCTCCTGTTATCACTAAATTTTCGTGTTTGTTCATCATCGCACCAACGGTGGATCAAAATCACTGAAATGACCCTTTTTTTCGGAAACTCCCATCCCATTCTCTTGCGAATTTCCTCATTTCTGCATCCCACTTTTCGAGAGCCTCAGAGCTGTTTCCCTTGCATGCCCAAATAGCACCATGGGAACTATAAATTCAAACTCCAAACAGGAAACGCAACGGTCTTGTTTTTTTAAGTGCCAAGCCACTCGAATCTACAGGCAAAATATTGCACCGATTGTATTCTTTGGATATTAAAACTTGCCAATTCTACCTCTTGGTAGTCTCTGAACAAGAAAAATAGGAAAGGTTGGGAGGCCTGTGCTTTTATTGTCCATGCGTGAGTTAACCGGGTTTCCTGTGCTCTTTCATGAGCTCACCATTCATATCAAATTCAAATATGGCGGCGGCGGTCTCAAAACGATTTTGAATATCAACTCATTTGTTTTTTGTCCTTTTTCTGCGACACTAGGAACAATGGATTCTGTAATCGCAGTAGAGCCTCAGCTCAACGCCATAATTGTGGAAGTAAGTTCAGTTCTTGCAAAAAATGCTTCAATTTTATCCCTGACAGTCGCTGGCGTATGTTCCTATGGTGACCCGATTATTAAAATGTGGAGTAAAAGACTTTATTTTTCATTTTCAATAGAGCGGATTTCGTATGAGTGGGACACCGTTACCGCACAGTAACCGGACCTGGACTGCAATATTTTTGTGAACCAATGGGGCACTAGAATTTGGTTACAGTACGATTAGTCACAGTACAGTACCGTCCGTTTCCCACTCATACGAAATCCGCTCTATAAATAATTTTAAATGGAGATTTTAATTATTGTTATTGTTTTTTCGATTTGTTTGGTGGTGTTGTGAATAGTGTGTGTAAGGCATGTAAATTTTAAGGGTTGAAAACAAAGGGTCGATCGGATTGTTGAAAGCATGATCAACAAATTAGAGTTTAACTACATTGTCAGCTTATGTAAGCTTTCATATTAAGATAACTCATTATGATTATACTTGTTTGAGCATATCTCCACACGATACTACGTATCAAGCCAGTGTTGTACAGTGTACAATGTTTTTGTCTTTTCAGACTGTGATAATTTTATGTATAGTTTAAAACACGAGAGAGAGGTTTTATCAGGTATATAGATTCGAGCCGAAGGTGAGAATCTTTATACCTTATAAAATACGATCTCGAGTGTTTTAAATGGCTTCAAAAACTCCAACACTAGTTTGAAACTCAAATCCGTTTATATTCTTGGAGAAATTGCCGTAAAAAAATTTTGAGATAAATGGAGCAAACTGATCATGCGATAATCACTGTACATAATGCACTCTTGTCATCCCAAATTGAATACACATAAAGTAAAATAGAAGCGCTGTTCGCTGTTTACTGCAATCGGTTGACATCCTGCATTGGTCAATGATCAGGTTTCAAACCTGAGACCTTTGCTAGGGTCATGGACCTTTATATCTGATAAAGGTCACACTTATTAGTACTCTTTATATAAAGAATACCAATRATTTGGAGAGTTTTATCAGATATAAAGGTCCATGCATGTGACCAAATATAGGCTCATTCTATTGGCCTAATAACTCATTAATTATGTATGAGTTTTTGAAGGAATATTTAGTTCGTATTAAAAGCACAGCTCATTATAATGTCTGAGTCACTTTTCTGAAATACATTGATTTTTATTTAGTACTTGGAGTTTCTTGGCTATAACCAGACAAAAGAACAGCTGTCCCAAGAACTGAATCTACTTGGAAAACAGCAGGCCGATGAACCAATTCCTCCAAGAAATGACTCGCAAATCACTAGAATACAGGTACTGACAAACTGGGAACTGCTCAGAATACAATAAAAGGGTTTATATAATATATATTACAACAATAACCATAATCAATTTGGATTTGTAATGTCTTCCAAATGGTTTAACGTCTCAAATTTTATCTCATGAATGCACATCCATGAGTATCATGGATGTTGATTTAAAAGACAAGGAAAAATCCTTTGACTGGTATTAAATTTCCCACTTGCATAAATAAAATACAGTAGGGTATAGAGCAGATTTCGTATGAGTGCTGCACATTACCGCACAGTTACCGGACCTGGCCTGCACAATTTTTGTGAACCAATGGGGCACGAGAATTTGGTTACAGTACGATTACGGTCACAGTACAGTACCGTCCGTTTCCCACTCATACGCAAGTGCAGAGAYACAGATATCATTTTTTAGTGTTTGAAAACTCTCCCACTCTAGTAATACCCCATGTACATGTACAACCAACCTGTTTATCGTAATATCCATGAATTAAAGGAAATATAATGATGTTTTATAAGTGACTTTTATTTACCTCCAAAATATATGCCTCTAGAGGTACCATGATAAAATGTTATTTGGTTGATATTTTCTAGGTAGTTAATTGTTTATAATTATAACAGGATATGTTACATTACATGATGAAAATTTAGACCACTGACAATACCTCAGGGACAACAGCCCTCAGTGTCAATAATGGCTTTATAATATCAGTTGTGAAACATTTAAAAAAACATGTACATCTATGTAGTGCTACATAGTCATGTGTTAACAAACTTGTTCTTATTGCAGGAGAATCTACTAAGTGCATTTGATAGTGGTAGTTATGAACACTTCTTTGCTCTTTGGAATCAACACATTCCTACAAACGCACAAACAAATGACTGTCAAAAGCTTGAATTTAATCTCAACATATACTTTGCAGTACATCCCATAACATGTGGCAGACAGGTCAGTTTATATTAATTCACAGACAAATGATTTTCTTGTACTAAATAAAAAAAGATTAAAAATAATGTTGTCAAAAAGACATCATCAAAGCAAACAGTGACGGGTGTATATTATAAATAATATGTTATTTACTGGCTAGGAGGTCTGTATAGGAAAACACTGCCGAGTTCTTGACATAAAAGATGAAGTTAGGGCAGTGTTTTCCTATATGGACCAACCTATAGCCTGAACCGGTAAATAATATTCATTTTTTTTATTTGAATGTATTTTCCTCAACTTTCTGCAACAACCTAGCTGCGGGATACCGTGGACTGGCCAGATCGTGAAAAACCAGATCGCACGCTAGTCAGTCACAACACGTGAATGACTAGGATACCGGACCAGAAAAAATTATATTTTAAAATATTTTTTTGGAATGCAGAAATGCCCTATCCTAAAAGCATGAGAAAGCAAATAACACATCTAAAAATAATATTTATATTTAGTCAGTAGTTGTAACTTGTTATATAATTAAAATTCATCAACTGCATAATATATAAATTTGTACACTTGTATCTTTGTTTGTGTTTAACAGAATAAACTACTACTGGACAAGTCAATGAAGATGTTCAAATCCTATTTGGAGAACAAAGGAGCTGGTTTAAGCCAGACAACTGAGTTTCTTCCCTATTACGCCTTACCTTTTGTCCCTGATCYAACTATGCACCCGTCCTTTAAACCTATTTTTTCTGTAAGTACAAAATACCATGCAAACAAAATTGAGTGGCAGTCCTTAGATACTTCATGTATACATATGCATTGTATACACCTAATTGAAAAAACGTAGTCATGTTCGAAAAGGTCACATCATAGAAGCTAAGACCAGACTCGTACCCAGTCGCTTCTCTGGCTTTTTTTGGAGACGCGCAATGCATCAAGGGAAGGGCGAAGGGAAAGCGCCTTCCCATCAACCTCTTCGAGCGTAAGTAACGACTGGGTACGAGTCTGAGCTAAGACCGAAAGGGATTTTAAGTACCGCTAAGTTGGGATTACATTTGCATATACGGTGTACACTAAACAAGTAGAGCTAGTAAGATTAACAGCATAATAGTCTATAATGCTGTTTGTTATGAAATTAGGCAAATTGTTTGTCTTCCCAAGTACCCTTTCGGTCTTAGCTTCTATGATTTGACCTTTTTTGGACCCGACAACGTTTCTTCAATTAGGTGTATATGCACTGAATTACTAATGATTATATTATAAATATTTTGCTAATTGTAATGCTGTCCAAAATTCTATGATCATCTGGACAATTTTCACAAATTAACCATTCCTATGAATTAATAAAATAATCCATGTATTTATTTCTGTTCAATTTGATTGTGTTTAATCAGTATATTGTGAAACACAGTCCTTGGCTACTTGCTTACGTTTTTTCAATCCATGGCCATGTCTTCTAGGTGTCTTGATACTATAGTTGGTAATAATTATATTGTTACTCTTCTACTTGGTACTTACGTTTGATCTTGTTATTTTGATCAGAATTCCTGGAGTCTTGAGCTGAGGAGTAAACTGGAATCCTATTTACCTGTGGCCCTGAAATCACAAGAAAAACCCAAGCTTTATATTTTATATGTATCCTTTACTAATTACAGTGATCATACTGTGTAAAGGAACTTTTCTCACAATTCATATTGAACAGTAGAGGTGGAATAAAACATTGTGGGTGCTTTCTGTAACTAGAATCCATTCAATGGTGGTTGCCCTGGGAACTTGTGTTAAAGTTATTGGTAACAGAGATCATTTAAAATATTAGGTTTCCACCTGGGCTGGCTCACACACAATAAGGCAGCTCCAAGGAGATGGGGTGTTCACAAGTATCTCAAACTTTATGTGTATTTTTCTCTTGACATTTGTTCAATATAGAAAAATGGACCGGATATTGTTGAAAAAGGTGATACTGTCAATAAACAAATAATCTCTATTTTACATGTAGTTGGTGATGGAAACATGTACCATATTGTACACCATTGTGATTGATAATTATTTTCTCATTCAATGTATCATGCAGAGTGCAGAATATAAGTTAGACTGGTGAGTACAATCATGTAAATAAATTTTTTTACAGAAAGAAAGAGACACACAGAACAATTAAAACTGCTGCAGCATCAGCTTTCAGAAGTTGAGAAAAGATCTTCACAGTACTTCAAAAGATTTTCTAAAGTACAGGTACATTGTACAGAGGCTAACAAATCTAATACAACAATCTATTATGATCCTCACCATTACATCACAACACTAATGGATTTAATGTTTAAAATTAGAGCTATATTTTGTCACATGTTACTATAAAGAATTCATAAAGAAAGGCTTGCACTGAATCACATGACATCATCTAATTGGCTTGATACAATATTCTGTATAACAAAATAATAATGAAATAGACCTTTTCACGGTTAGAAAATAAGTTGAGCGAGGAGCCTGTGTTTTTGCACCAAAGTGAGGCAAAATCAGGCAACAACACAAAAAGTTGCCATCTTTGAGCTTGTTTATCCTTTTGCAATATCAGGAAAATAATTTTTGATGGTGAAAAAAGTCATAACTGTGATGTTACTTGTTATTCTTGTTCATCTGATGGCTGCAGCAAACATGTTGCCTGCTTTGGTTTTAACCTCAAAAAGGTCTATATTGTCTTGGGAACAACACAGCCAATATTAAAATCACCATCAATGAAAAGTCAACAGTCTGCAGGAACTCATTTATCAGTGAATTAATGCAATTAATTTTGAGAAAGGAATAACAGATTGTTATCATTATTTTTTTGTAAATTTTAGAGAGTTTAAGACCTGTTTCAAATGCCGTGCCAGTGTCGCGCCAAACCAAATACCAAATTTTTGTCGAGCCAATTCCATTTGACACTACGTTGTTTTATACGTCAAACCAAGTATGAATCACTATCAAATTTTTGTTGTGCAGCACAACTGGCGCTGCCGTGCTACTGTCGTGCCAAACTTAATTGTTTCAAACGTGGAGCTGTTCATGTGCTTAATTCAAACTATTTGGTTCGGCGCGACAGTAGCAAGGCATTTGAAATTGGCCTTAGGAACTTTATCTTCTATATTATTAAATAGAACACACTTGGTAAATTGACTACTTTCAGGCTGTTATATATAATATCTTATTTTAGTCAGTGTTGGCATGTTTTCTCACTAAAAATGAGACAAACTGTATTCAACTTAGAATTGTCATTGATCAGTTTCCTATTATTATCAAAGACAGGACAAATACAAGACAGTTGTATGATTGATGCCTTTCATTGTTTCAGAATGACTACCATAGACTAATAGGCATAGCAGCAGAACTTGTGGACTCCTTAGAGGATTGTGTCCGAGGGAAAATGGTAAGTGATGTCAAATGCTGTTGTATTTTAATTATTAAAATTATAATGATGTGAAAACATTGTAGGAATCAAAATCAATTCACATTGTTTATCAATTTTTCAATAGTTTTGTCGACACTTTTAATACTGAATTTTTTAACCAGGTAACCCCTGAATATCTTCAAGACATTTGTTTAAGATTGTTTAGTAACTCTATGCAAGACTCTATTGATGTCACTAAACCAGGAACTGTGAGTACAATTGCACTTCAGAAAATACATCTTGTATATTGTGCCAGTGTCTTTCTGGGGCTTGTAAAGAACACTTGAACTACTTGACTCCCTTTTTTTTCTTCTTAAAATTTTTATTTCAATTTGTTTTTCTGGATTTTTTATGTTCACCCCATTCTCCTCTTTTCCATTTTTCACAATGGTGCATCATTTTATTTATGTACAGACTGGATCACTTTGTCAAGTGTGTGCTATAATTTCCTAAATACAATATATAATCTTTTCATTTTTTCCAGGCCAGTTCTATGCTGAGAGCTTCAATAGCTGTAAATCCTCAAAGGTGATCCGAGGTTTAAAATAATTGATAAGACKGGAATATTTTGTGCTGGTTGATATGTATTTTAACACTCTTTTTGTCCTTATTAACCGCTAAGGTCATTTATCTCATGGTACACTCTGATGATGGATATTGATTGTTCCAAAGGCTCAGAAAATATCTCTGTGTAGACAAATCTCTTGTCTTTTGTATAATGAATGTTATGTACATCCTGTGTGATATATTATGGAAATCAGTGTTTCAGATAGTAAGGAGAGTCCTTCTCTTATATCTCTGGACTATGACAAGATCAAGAAAGATTTACTGGTCCTTAATGAACGTCCTCTAATCTTCCTTCTCCAAGCACTGAGATGGGTAAGTAACACTCAAATGTAATTGTTGCTTTAAACTGCTAGTCTTGCTTGAATTAATTGCTTTKGTTTTTATGCTAATAACAGAGGCTGACTAATGCACCAAATATTGAAAAGAGAGATGCAAGCATAACAGCCTATATAATCCATGATCTGATTGGTTTATCTACAACAGACAAAGAGGTGAGAATGTCCAATACTTACATGTATTATATTGCATCTTTTGTTATGCTGTGGATGTCCAGTAGTTACTATTTCCCGTTCTATATCATCCTTATAAAGACATCCCGTTAACCTTGCACTCTGAATAAAACTGAAATCATGACTATTAGACTATGTTCTTTGATAGGATGATATTCTGGGTCTACTCATCCATTCAAATGATACTGTCAGACAATACATGGCAAGACTACTCAATTCAATGGGATCATTTTCAGCTGGTAAAGAAATATTGTTCTTGATGTGATTATAGCTGCCTTGGGCCAAACCTAAACAACACCAACACATAACAGCACAAACCCATGCTGTGCTCAGCTTCCACTTTTGCCTCGGGACGGAGAGGTCGAAATCTTAGACACGGCTCAAACGTCGAGCCAGCGTCGCGCCAAACCAAATGATTTGAATTTAGTA